TGCAGCAATAATAGTTTACCGTAAGGCTGTATCTCCTTAGCTATGTAGTCTTGTAATGTGGACTGGGAAGTGCTCAAGGGGGTTGTGCAGTTTGGGCAGTCACCCATCCACATGAACAACATGTGGGGTGTACCCGAGTACCCCAGAAGCGTACTCTAGACCTACGCTTCCCCACATGTGATTGCATCACTACTTTGACAATGTTTTCTGCTGCACGGGACATAGCTGAGTAATTTCTAAGGGAAGGGCAAAAGAAAGAAGGAACTGAAAGCTATAGGAGAGACTTTCTCAGACCATGAGGGCTGCTCTAGATGTTGCAACCTGCGGAAAATAAGGCAGCAGCAAGGCAAAACAAGGGAAGGACTTCAATATATGTGGAGCAACATGGTTCCCATAAGCAGCTTCATCTGTTTTGGGAGAGCTAGTCATAGTGTCGGTAACATAAAGATGTATGATTCTGGCTCTATTGCAACTTTCGTGCTCCTCAGGAAATCTACAGCTTGATCATCCTCTTACAGACGCTAGAATTAAGCACATCATCATCATCTTTCTTTTTACTTCCTGCTCTCTCATGTTGTTGTTGTTATTATAAAATGTTGCAATATTCTTAGTGAGTTCTCTGAAGTCTTAGGAGCCTAGTAGTGAAAACATGTGTTGAGATAACATCAACACAAAGTGAAATAAACACTTAAAACTGCATGATGTCTGTAAGAGTAAATGAAGTGATTATTATTTTACATCTGGTCCAATAAATGGCATGTATTGTAATAAATGGCAAAAATGCAGTAATTAGCAGTGGGGATACATTGTTTTACCATGGATTATCGAGGTTCTGCTGTACAAAAGAATGAAAGAGAGTTTAAGTATGTTTTTGATAAAATATTCTCTCTTGGAACCTGCCCTTTAAATGGTTTTTCTTTTCAGCGTAAACTTTTTTTTACCTTGTAGTTATACAATGCTCTCTTAATTATTCCTTTCCTGTTTCCACAGTCTGACCTTTTTCTTTCCAAGCCCTTCTCAAAGCATGTCCTGATTGGTACACGCTCTGCAGACCCCATTGTCTGCTGCAGCAAGTTGCTACCCGCTATCATTCTCTGAGCTTTGTCTTTTTCTTGGAGGCTTCCTCTCTGCCTTTTATCATGTTCATTCATTTTTCTCTTTCTTTTCTCTGGGAAGCCTATAAAGACCTAGTAAGAGAAATATGATAAACTCCTTCAAGTAGATAATTTAAAATTAATATCTGGCTTGATTGGTAAGTGGAACAAGAAAAAAAGTAAGTTTTGATAGATCAGAATGCATCTGCTAAAGTCTTAATGCAACAAGAAAAAACATCCACCTGTACTTCTGGGAGCAATGGTCAGCCCTCAGCTCCTTCAGCAATAAATCTGGCTTCAGCTAAATGAATTTCATGTTCCACTACTGTGTTTTATTGTTCCCTTAGGTTAACTAAAACCATTGCTTTTGCTGCTGCTGCAGTCAATGATGTTATAGAACTTTATACTTTGGTCTGAGCCAAAAGATTGCAGTTAACCATGGGTGATGATGATGAAGAAAAGTCAAACTCTCTTTCTGCATCATTTAATCTCACCTTGAATTATCTGTATGTCACCAGAAACACAGCTCAGATCTGTTGTCTCTTCACTAATCTGCTTATTTATTTGGTTCCCAAATTATCTTCCAAATAGACAGCCATCTGGAGATTTCTTAGCTATTTTTTGTAAAAAATTGTTAAAAACTATTGATTGTTTTTTGCAGCCCTACTACAGTATTCTTTTAATGGAAAAAAAGGGTGAAATTATTCAATCAAATGTCTTCAACACTGATATGTGCTGATATATATGCTCGTATATATGATACCTAAATAAATGAAGATAATTAGCAAAGCTAATCCTAGAAATTCCTTCTTTTTGTTTGTATGGAATCTTTTCTAATACTTCAGCTTCTAATGCTTCCCAAAATTTCTTCAGCTTTGGAAGAAATGCTTTATTTCCCTGGGCTTATTGTTTCCATTGTTGCAGATAAATTAGCAAACAGGTTTGCTGAGACAGTTTGACAGAATTCTCTCAGTTTGTGAGAAGCTGATTGCAAAAGAGGAAAGCACGTCTCAGATCTGCTGCTGACAGTTGTCGCGGAGGCGGGAGGTATGGTTTATCCTCCCCAAAATAAGCCTGCCAATTTGGAGGCTATAATGAAGCTGACCGTCAGTAGGCTTGCTGCCTTAAATTAGCAAACAGGTTTGCTGAGACAGTTTGACAGAATTCTCTCAGTTTGTGAGAAGCTGATTGCAAAAGAGGAAAGCACGTCTCAGATCTGCTGCTGACAGTTGTCGCGGAGGCGGGAGGTATGGTTTATCCTCCCCAAAATAAGCCTGCCAATTTGGAGGCTATAATGAAGCTGACCGTCAGTAGGCTTGCTGCCTTACACTGACAAGGGATGATTGGTAGAAATTGAGAAAGATCTGTTTTGGGGAGAAGGAATCAAGAGTAAAAAGTTTTCTACCAACGTCTTCACTTCTCTTAGGAAGAAGAAAGGGACTCTCAGGGTGCCTGCTCCTGCCAGGGACCAGGGAAAAGCTACCAGCCCTTTGTCGCTGCAGAGCAGGCAGGGTGCTGACTGATCAGCGGCCAGTGTCAGCTTAAGATAATACTTCCTGTTACGTTAAAAAGTTCAAGCTGTGCTCCGTTTTCAACCCACAAGACCAATTTACTACTGGTATGGGGAGATGAGACTCCATTTGCTTCTATGGGCTGACCTACGTTTATGCTGGTGGTGAATTAGGCAAAATATATTAATTCTGGCTTGATTGCAGAACCTTTGATTAAATTATGTTTTTCTCTATTTTCTCATGAAGGGCTACATCTGGTCATGTAGGAATAGCTTGTAACAACACTGAAACATAAATTATTTGATGAACTACTTAGGACTATTCACTTAATGCATGATAATCCTGTGAACATGTTAACAAGCAGCAATTCTCTGATGATTAAACTGCTTTAAAAATGTCTTTGTACTCATATGTCATTAGAATGAACTTGGCACTTCTAAAACATCCATTATTCATCATGTTCCAGCATTGCATCTGACTGTGTATTGCTTTAATTTCGCTCACTTAACAAAGCAATCTATTCATTACAATAGTTTGAAACATGTTTTCTAAACCAGAAAAACCCTAGTTAAATATACAGTGTTACTTATCTATACAAGTATAGTAGAGCAAAAAATAACATCCCAAATTGTAATTACATACTTAGTGCATTTAAATATGCTAACTAAAACTAAATGGATGTTTTAAGAAAAAACTTTGTTGAAATCAATGATATTGTTATTTGGGGAAGCAGGATAGGTAAAACACCTTGCTGAAAGCACAAGGTTGACCTTTCTTTCTGAAATAGTTCAGCAAACATTTTCTCAGTAATCCTTTTTCACACACATTTATTGTCCTGATCACTCAAGAAGCAGAGAAGGTTAGAGTATTATTACTGCAAATATGAATACTACTTATATATTTTATTTTTTTTATGGTTGTTTCCTGCTTTTCCTGTATCTTTTCATTTTACAAGTCCTGGGTCCTTCCATACATTGTGAACCCCTTTAAATCCTACTTTAGCTTTGCTCCTTTTTGAATCTGTGTGTGATGGCTGTTCCAGAAGTGCTTCTCCACTTCCTAGCAAGCCCATGAGATGTATCTCAGAAAGTATAGGACTGCTGATTGACTGCATGTTTGAAGATTTTTGACTCATGGGCTGCACGGGCTCCATCTCCTGTAAGCGAAAGATGGCTTTTGTCAGAGGAGTTAGACAGAATACTGGCTAAATGGACCACTTGAAGAAGTATCAACAGAAATGCATTTTCTTTTCAGTGTAGCTAAATGAATTTCCAGAAAACTAGAAAAATTCTGGTTCATAACAGTGGAAGATGGGCTAATAACCTCCATACAAGCCAGAAATCTTTATTCTCAGAGCGCGCGAGAGTCTTGCAAAACATGCACAGATATGCGGTGACTAAACTTTTAATAGATTTTGAAAAGCACTTCAGTCTCTTAATTTTGCTTTAAAAATGCTTCTTGGGTTTGCTGGGAAAATAGTGGATAGTCACCTATGCTGTGCTTACTTCTCACAGATTTTTGATCAAACATGTTTTTAACACATTCTGATTCAGTCTGTTGCCGAAGTAGGATGTTTGAACAGCTATGGAAGGTTTACAAATGCTTTCCTAGTAAGCAATAGAGGTAGGGAGTCCTTGTTGATTGTATTAACTCTTTCAACAGCTCTTGGTACAATAAAAGTCAACATACGGAATTGTTAAAAGAATGTAATTGTTAAAATAATGTGAATAAAATATGTGTGAAAGAGATGGAACAATTGTGTGGTAAGAGGAAGATACTGAAAGAGGTGGAAAGATTTCAGTAACCACTATCTCTCTGTGTTTGGCTAAGAATGTTGATGGAATCAGAATAAACTAAGAAACCCAGCTGTGGGCTCACTTTTTTACATTTCTGTCTCTTCCTGTGAATCACAGTTCTTCTTTGTTCATAGCCCAATAAATAAGATTTAGTTTGCAATGAGTTAAGAATTAACTGCAGAGAATTTCTACAGTTTCAAAACTGTATTAGTATATAGCTTTTTTCATCAATCTTTCCTTCAAAAATGGCAGTTTATGGCACATGATATTTAGTGCGTCATCTATGGCAGCATCAAAATTGAGTTAGTGGTGTTTGAAGCTTTTGTATGCCTTTTTATGGTCAGACTTCTTAAGGTATGTTAAGCTTTTCCTTCCAACTAGCCTTGATAGTGTTTGTGGATATGTTGCTATAGCTTTGGCTACATTTATGTGTAATTCAACCTATGAAAATCCTTATGTTGTATGTGGAAATCATTCTGAACTGTTTCATACTGAGGAATTGTTATTTACAATGCAAATAATCTACAGTTTCTACAAAATGCTAGATACGGACTTTTTTTTAAACTTAATTAATGTGTCTGTATTTCTTTAACACACAGCCCCTGTTCTCCCTGGGGCATATCAGCAAAGCCAGTCCCAAGGGTATGGATACATGCACCAGACCAGTATGTCATCCATGAGGTCCATGCATTCACAGCCTCATTCAGCAGGTCTGGTGAGTATTGGATTTAAGAATGATTTTATTTGGTAAGCAACATCATCAGCTGTTGTGAAATCTCTTAAGTATGAGTGAATTTGTCCCCTTGAATTGTATAGTTGGACTATTTGGCTGTCCTCGTCCTAAATGTGAGTAATAGTCCTCATGTATAAAACAAATGAAGTGACTGAGGGCAGTGGCAAGAACTTTTATGTCAGAATGCATTAAAAAAAATACTTATGATCTCCAGAAGGCAGAGAAATAGCTGAATATTCTACCTGCTAAAACAAATAGTAAATGGTTGGACAGTATTTCACAGGCTGAGCTTTGATATTATGCTCTGTGATGAATTCAGGCTCCTAGCGCTGGATGAAAACCACTGATCTCTTAAGATCACTCTGTTGGTTTAAATTTGTTTAAAATTTTTTGACTTTCTGATTTTGTACGAGCAGGCTTTGTGCCTATCCATATTACTCATCTCTGCTTGTATAAAGCGAGCTGAGAACTCCGTATTGGTGTGCCCTTTCTCATTCAACAGAGCATGCACTGTTGAATTCAACATGCACCCGCTCATGTCTGATCCAAATCGAGTTATACTGCTGGGTGACTGAGAAGAAGCTTTATCATGAAACCATGCCCCCAGCCATAAGTTCTTAATTGTGGTGGATGAGAATGTAAAGCTGGAGTGAATATTTCATTTTAGAAGTAACTGGTCATGGAAGGAGAGCTGAATGGATATTCAGCTGGATTTTTTAGGAAATTGAGCTTTTTTTCTTTTTGAACTCTTTATATATAAAGGTCAGTTTTAATGGTTATCATATCACTGCCTAGAGATTTCATAGTTCAGATCCAGTCACCTTTTACCTTAAAAATATTGACTTTTGGAATATTGGATGTATATTTACTACCTCTGTCACCTTTTTTAGAGTTGAAAAAGTATTTAATTATGAACCAAACTTAGAGCTTGCTGAGCTGAAAAAAAATGTTTTCAAGATTAGCTGAAACTTGTATTTTTCTTTAAGACTGAAATTCCATGGCATTTTATATTGTAAAGATCATGGCATTCTGGGAGGTTTGGGTGCTTTCAGGATTGCCAGTTTCTTAGCTGCTTGGGGGCTGAGGGGGGCTAACTTGCTGGGAAGTCTGGGATCCAGATACCTGCATCTTTGGGTGAGCCAATAATCTGGTGTCATGGTTTAACTCCAGCTGGCAACTAAGCACCACGCAGCCGCTCGCTCACTCCCCCCTGG